TGTCTCCAAGTGCCTTGTCAGAGTTACCTTGGGATTTTGCCTGCACCGACACCGCTTGCTTGGAAGGGGCCGGGGGACCAGTTAGAGGATCACTGAAATGCCTCAGGAGAATTTGGGCGAGGCAAGGAGGGGTTGGAAGGGCAGGAGTGACCTGCAAGACTGGGTCGGGCATAGTGATTCAACTGGTTCATTGAACTGCACACATTAACTACCAGTTTGGCTATACAGGTGTAAACCGGCTGAATCCCACCACTGGTTCTAATTTCCTTTATGCACAAGCCAGCTGGATGACCTTAGGCTAGTAACTTTCTCTCCACCCTAAGGAAGCAATGGCAGGTCCCTTCTGAAAATCCTCACTAATAAAAGCTGTAGGGACCTATCCAGGCAGCCTGCAAAAATTTGACATGATTGAAAGGGGTGGGGGAGGAGACATGTATTTTTATATATTTTTCCCAATTCCAATTAAGAATTATATACAAAATGATGTCTAATGTTAGGAATATCAGAAAACTATTTCTAATGATAAGCAATTAAATTTCCTGTAAGCTAGGAAGTTTGCCCTATTGAACCAGATTTGTTAAATCCAAAATGTGATTTGGAATCTATAATATGCTCGGCATAATTGTATCAATTATCTGGTAGGTTTCCTTTTTTGAACTCATTTTTTGTACATTTTAAATGTATTAAACTATCAGGATGTACTCTACATTCAATTTCTATTTAATCTTTAAAGTATGCATGTATAATACTGTGAAGTTCTTTATAAGCTTACTGATACCATTTTTTCTCTCTTAATATGTTTCTTCTGTAAGTGTTTGAGGTCTAAAGTAGAAAATAAGTCTGTTGACAATAAGATTTACCTTTATTGTCATTTTTTCTGTGGGCATTTTGGCACACATAAAAAATGAAACTGTTGCTTGCTCTCAAAAGTGTATACATACATAACAGACATATAGACATGCTATATGCATACATATGTACATATTTATACTCGTAACATATAAATACATATAAATATTAATCACTGCCCATCTTGAATACATAGCAGAAAGAGGAAGCTTGATAGTTCACAAGGTTGATAATGGAACAAAACTGTGGCTGAATCTGGATGTTCTACTTCTGATACTATGAAACCTCCTCTCAGAAGGTTACAAGGAAAACAGGTCATGAAGAAGATGCGTAGCATACCAGACAATACTGTTCAAGCAACGCTTATATACTATATCCCAGACAGAAGGGAGTGAACTGCCAATAATATTTTCTGCCATCCTCACCACTCTCTGCACCACCTTCTTGTCCGAAGCAGTAATGCTTCCAAACCAGACTGTAATGCAATATGACAGGATGTTCTTGATTGTCCCTCTATAGAAAGTGGTAAGGATTAGGGAAAAAGATGTACTTTTCTCATGCGATGCATGAGGCACTGCTGTGTCAACTTCACCAGTATCTTGCTGTTGAGTGACCAAGCCAGCCTACTCATTAGCTGCACATCCAGAAATTTTAATGCTAACCATTTCCAATGTTCCCTCTAATTTTTTTTCAGTGTGGGCGGAAAACTATAGTGTTTGAACGGCACATTTTCATGCCTGAGCAGCTGAATTTTTTTTCACAGATGTCACCCAAGACAACAACGAAATCAGTGTTATTTGAAACTCAAAGTTATGTTTATTCAAGGTACCCGCTTCATTAAAATATAAATATATAAATGATATATAAAATTATATATCAGTATCACTTATAATACTGCAAGCTTGTTCAAAAGCAAACTCACTACAATTATCTTTTCAAATTCATGTTGGATTAAATAAAAAAGAGCTTTGAAATGAATATATGAATGGCACTTAATACCTGTAATATTAAAATAGTAAATGTTTGATATACTTCATTTTAATGAGTTCACATTCAATTGCAAAAGTTGTCTATACACTGTATGCTTCTGTGAATGTATTATATGCAATTGCTATTTTAAATGAGTAAAATGATTAAAATCCCCATGCATAAAGTCTCATTCACATCTAACAGTTTTCTTCTATCATTAATTTGTAAACTCAAGGACTTATTGCCTGTATGTTCAACAATGCTTGCTGATTGTTTAAAAATTTGTGGCAATTTGTTCCTCTCTATACAAATGGTTTCAGTACCCTACTACTGCTGAACTCTGGGAGACAATTCTGCATATAACTAGTGATAGTAACTACTGACCCAAAATTGCAAAACATTAAACTTTATTATTTTTAATATGAAAAAATAATTTGACTCATAAAATCTTATTTTTTTTCATGACTGCTCACACAGAAATTGCCTGCTATTGGAAAAAGTACATTCTAATAATGAATAGCTAAACAGAATAGGAAATTGCATTATCCAAAACTCTAAAAAAATGAAGTGAAAAATATTTTAGCCACATTTTTTTCAAATCTTACTCCTCCTACAAACTCCATATTACTTGCAAATATAAATAGATTGCTAAAATGACTCTACCATAAAAAATAAGATAAAAAACATCTTCCTTTTGTTTGTAAAGTAGTGATTTTAGTTTGCTCCAAATGATTTAACTATGGAAGTCACTAATTTAGACAGATAGGAAGTTTAATTAGATTAAAAGTGAAAATATTCTCAATGACTGAAAATCCCAATGAGTTATCACATATAGGTACTCCTTCATTACAACGTGGGACTGGAATTTTTATCACTCAGTAATGTGGTCACAAAGCGTGATGTCACGTGATCCAGTGAAGCCGGCAAGTCCACGGGGCAAACGCTGCACTGCTTCTCCTTGCGGTGCAGGCAGCCCTCACTGCAGCAGCCGGAGAGCCCAGGATTGATGGAGGCACCAAAGGCTGGGGCCTTTCGGCCGCCGGGCTGCCAGTCCCGATGCTGCCATTCTGGTGGTGCTCGTCGGCTCGCTTTGGTGGGATAATGCACCACTGCCGCCACGTCTGCTGGTCACCCATCCGAGGCCCCCCTGGTCAGTGCCATGTCCCCCCCAGCCTTGGTGGCTATGACCAGGAGCAGCAAAAGAGGCAGCAGCATCTCAGTGCCTCAGGAGGAGGCAGAGGGAGTCCGAGAGGAGGTGAGGATGGAGGGGAGGTGCCTGCTCTTGCCCGGCAGCCAGGAGCAAAACATGCTGTTAACCATTTGCATGTCACAGTTTTGCATAACATGCTCATTGCATTGTGTTGTGTGCTTCCCTCCATTCCAACAGAGGGTTGCAAAGCAACCCCCTTGGTAACTGGGCAATATTCCCTTTAAGCTGCGCCAAATACCCAGAAAGTCCCAATAGTATGGTGTAAAATAGTTGCTCCAGGAAGCCTGAGCCACGTCAACCATGTCACTTTTCTGCCCTGCATCTCAAGAATCAAGACTCCTACAGCAAAGGCCACCTGCTCGGCAAGGTACATTGGGTAGGAAAGGTTTAGCTGGAGGGGGTTTTGATTGCGATTCTACGGCTACTCTGCAGTCCGTGTCCAGCAAATACGTGACCCTGTGCAGCAGTTGGAAACGGCTGTGCGCTGTTTTTTTGCCATGTGCGTGGCCGCACAGCCACGCAGCTTAGAGAGAACATTGACCATTTCCACAGGGTGATCATTTATACAGTGTGGTTGTGCCTGTCTTTTTTGAAATCGACAATCGAAGAGTTGGAATGAACCTAGAAACCCTATACCATTTCAGACAGGTTGGCCAATCTCTCTTTTTTAAAACTTCCAGTGTTGGAGCATTCAGAACGTCTGGAGGCAAGTTGTTCCATTTATGATGATCTCTTTAGTTTTTCAAATGTTTTATTACACCAGTTCACCAAACCCTCTATCTCCTTTGGTAAGCACACTCATTGTCGTCTTGAATAAGGCCCACTACTTTTGTATCATCAGCGTACTTCACAATACGGTTGATGGCAAACTTTGCACAACAGTCATGGGCAGTGGTAGGATTCAAATAATTTAACAACTAATTCTCTGCCTTAATGATTTCCTCCAACAACCAGTTCACCAAACTGCCCAGAAGGTTAACAACTGGTTCTCCTAAAGTGGTGTGAACTGGCTGAATCCCACCACTGGTCAGGGATCAGATTTAGATTTACAAAGCATAAGCATAAATGTTGAAATACAGTTTTCAATTTTTCACATTGATTTATAAAAATGCAATATATTTATTCTGTGATTCTTTCCACATAAAACTGCATATTTTAGTTGCAAAAAAAAATAGTTGGCAGAAAAATATTCACTTTGTTATATCTTGTTATTGCCAACTAGTAGTTTTTGGGATTTTTGCAGTAAATGTACATAGGTGTGATTATAATCACCATAATTATCCCTAAACCTCCAATTTGTATTAATGTGCTGCAGGAAAATTTTAATTTTTAAAAATAATGTAGGGAAAGAACACTGCATAATATTCTAAATAATTGAACCAAATCCTTTCCATCTTACTCAAATAGGCTAATTTTGATTATAGACTGAAGATGGTCAAGAGGAACTACTTGTGGAAGTACATAGGTCAGCATGTCTTGATGATGATGTAGAGCACAGCATAGACTCCAGAGGATTAAATCCTCCTGTGTATATAATTGATATGTGTATTTGAAAGAAGCCGCATGGTGAAATGTCTGGGGATTCTCAGTCATACAGGTCATGGTTGTTCCAAAGTTGCTTTTTCAAAAGGCAAATGGACATTGTTTTCCTTGAAGGTGTTTTGCTTCTCAGCCAAGAAGATTCTTCAGTTCTGACTGACTGGTGAAGGATGAAATATAAATTCCAAAGAATATAAATCCTTTCATCTTCCACCATTCAGTCAGAACTGAATAAGCTTCTTGGGTGAGAAGCAAAACATTTTCAAAGAAAAACAAAGTCCAGTTGCCTTTTGAAAAAAGCACCTTTGGGATGGATGGTGAAATATATTCAAATTATAATATAGAAAATACAAGAATAAAACAACAAATGTATTTGTATTGTATTGGAATATTTTTTCAAGAGTATGATAACCTATTTTATTCTTTGCAGACAAATGTAGCAGAAGACACATTCTGAGGGAACTCTTACATGGGGAATGGGAATCAACTAACATTGATGCAAACATCTTGCAGTGTAGTATGTTGATGATATTTTCAGTAGTCCTACCATAAAAACAATTGAAACTGACAGTAATATGGTCTTAATGAAGCTTATGGCACTGGGAGTTTTTCCACATGTAATCTTTTTACATTGCATGATGCTTATTCACCAGCTTATTTCTCTTTCTTACCTTTAAAAGTTAATGCATCTTCTATTCAATCTTGAGTCCTAGTGACTGCATGGATAAATCCATATGGGGTTTTCTGGAAACTTAATACAAAATTTAAGCAAATCCACAATCTCTTTTCCACATTAAGAAAATAGTGGCTATTACTGGAGTTGAGTAGGAGAAATTGGTATTTATAATGGACTTCAATCATTATAATAGAGTTAGTTCTTATGATAACAATTCGAATCAGATTTGCCATCACTAAGAGATAAGGTCATAAAGTGCATTATCACATGTCTGTATTGTTTAGCAGCAACGATCTAGACAGTCCTATTTGTTATAACTCCAGACATGCAGGTCGTTAGGTAGAAAGAGGAAGAAATCCCAGGAAAAGAGTACAAAGGTGCTATATGAAAATAGTAGGAAGTCCAGAATTGGGGTGGATAGGTGCCATGTAATGTGAACTTAGGAAGGCTGGAAAAAGAGTGCCAAGGTGCATGTTCAGTGCAGAGTTTGATGAAAGGGGCATAGAATGAATATATGTGTGCAAGTACAGGGAGGCAAGGAAAGCGGACTGCATCCTTCCATTTACAACAGAGATGGAAAGAAATGTTAACTAATAAGCTACAATTTGTTTGCAAAATGTTTTATCAAAAAGTAAGTTCTGTTTCATTATTTGCTATATCACAGTGCAATGGGTAGAAATGTTGGCCATAAAGACTACCATTGTTTAAAAGTTACACTAAAATAAAAAAAGCATTTGGTACAGACAAATGTTCCAGTACACAGAAGGGGAAAATAGGAATTACAACAAACCATTTAATATAATTCTGCTGATAGAGTAAATTATTCTTTACCACAGCCTATTTTTAATGAACCAGGAAAATAAAATCTGAGTAAACACCTTATATAAGCAGGGTGTGTCTTGGGAATGAATCAAGTTAACTGAGCTTTCTGCCAAATCAAATATTTTCCAGTTCTTTGAAATTAATCATTTTAATGGAGAATAATCATTAAAGTTAAAACAGCATGCACATTTTATAGTACATATTTTGACACAGCATTCTTACTGTATATGTATCCTAACTTGAAATTTATGTATTACATTTTACAGAAAACAAAATTAATTCCTTCTTCAATACAGAGTAGGTAGTAAACCTTCTACAAAAAGTGACAAAATATTCTTAACATGAAGATGTCCAGGAATATCAATGTATATATTGCTGTTACATTCCAAAGATGCAGTTCTTATTTATGGTTATGCTTATTAAATTAGCATAAGAATCTTTAAAAAATTGCAAACCAGAGTAATGGCTATGAGTTCTAACAAGATTTAAGAATGGATTTAATCAGTTTCTATGGAGTATATTGTAATGTGCAAAACAATTACACTGAGATTTTTATGATGAATAAAGATAAAATCCTTGTTATCATAGTTTGATATCATATGAAAGTATAATGTATTTCTTCTTCTTAATATTGTAGGGCATAGAATATACTTCTGCAACTGTTGAGTTTTCATCCTAGTGTTCTTTCAGAGACTCTGCAGCCAATTTGATTTGCTGAAAAGAAATCATAAGACAGAAACATTAGAAAAATTATACAAACATCATCCATTTATTGATAGAATGAAGAAAAAAATAGTTGTTTCATCAATATTGAGACAAATTGTACTTTGGGATCAATGAAAACAAAGGCATCTTTCCCCATTCTGCTCCAATATGATTCATGATTTTGGTGATTAGATAGGATAAGTATATAAAGAAAACAGGAATGAAGTTACCCTGGATAAAGAGGTAAAATTTTAATTGTAACTTTTAAATGTAAAAAAGAATGGAAGCTACATCTTTGTAATTTTTTCTATTTTTCTTTTGGGGTTTTTTTGTGCATTCTTAGCTTTCTCTTTGATTTCTTGCTCTTCCTTTTTTAAATATTATTTTCACTTTGTTTTTTTAAAAAACATTTTTAAAAATTTTAAAAAAAGGAAAGTTCACATTTATTGAAAACATTGTGTACTCTCTATTTGATTGTTATTATACAGTATGCCTCAGTGAAAACCTAGTACCTACATTTACTAGTTAGAATAGTTCAGTGGGATAAATATTAGATTGTCTGATCTCCTTTGGGAAGTAAATGTAAATTAGCAGCATTACCAAGTTCATAATTAAGGCTCCCTGATTAAGGGATCATTTTTTAGGATATATTGAGATGGCTTGCAAAGGAGATGAACTTATTTAAACCTATTTTAAGATGGTGTGTAATAATTAGTTTTCTGACTAATCAATTAAAATCTATCACTATAACTATTACGTAAAAAGTAGCTAATGAAGAACTCCATTTCAGATCAGGATATTGGGATGGCACATGTGAAAAAATAGTCCAACACTTTGCTTTCTGCTGCAGTTCAAATCTGGATCTGCTTTTTCATCCTACTATATGACTGGAAGAAAGAATCTCTTCATTCTGTGCTGAATGAAGCAACGAACTAATTGAAACTATTTGTGAGCTACCTACTCCTACTGTTAAAAAAAACCTGAACTGAATCCTTCCTCCTCAATGCAAATTATAGACACTGGAAAAAATGAAATAGCAAATATAATCAGTGTGTTAGCAGTTAAGATGCTGGATAGGCATCAGGAAAGCTCAGGTTCACATATACATTCTCCCCACCCAATTTGCAGCAAATGGAATTCCTTCTATTAGTAATTTGCAAAAATCAGCATAGTTGCAGATTGTTTTATGAGATGGCACAACTTATTAAATCAATATTCTACAAATCCCCAATGCTTAAAACAAGCAAACAAGTCCACCCATTTTGTCACCTTTCAAATAAAATAGAGCAATGGGACAAAATAGGGGCAAAATAGAATATAGACCTTGTTACTTGCATTATCTTCCTATTCTCCATGGTATCCTGTGGGAGGGGCCATCAGTGGGATATCATCAGTGCTGACTGGTCCAGTGACTGAGTGGAAATATTTTGCAGCTATGCCTCTACTCATCCTGCCACAGTTTCCTCTCAGTCTTTGGTCCATATAGGCTGTTGTTTTTTTACTCCTCCATTGAGATGAGGAAAAGTTTAGTTTAAGGTTTAATTTGCATAATGACTATTCCAAATTCCGAATTGACTGAAGGCTGCAGGCGATAGCAGGGGCCATCTAACGTTGTCGCCTCAAGGGGTGCCAGCGGCTAGTTTCTGACTTCCCCAGCCACGTGGAGCCCAGAGTTTTCTGTTGTGGCTTCAAGGCAGCTGAAGGAAGAAAGACAACTGTGGCAGCTCGCCCGGCTATGGTCCATACATCAAGAAATGCTGGATAGCACACTAGCAAGCAGGCGAGCTGTCCAGAGACGTAACGTGAACCAGGAGGCCATTTTACAACCAGAATGAAAAAAAGATGGGTGGCCATTTTGGATCAGCACCATGAAGCTATCGCTGCAAATATAATCACTTTTGTCCTGGAGGCAACAGAGGCTAAAAGACATTGCCAAAGCCGCTCACTGCTGCCCCTATAACTGCTACTCCTGCCAGGTGCCTTATCGGCCTCATTGTCCACAGTGGCACAGTGAGTATCGGATCTAGGTCCAGAAGATGGCAGCCGCCAGGACTGAAGCTCAGTTGGGAGAATTGGACCCCACGGGTGTCCTGGGGGTGGAGGAAGGGTCTGCCCAACTGACCTCCAGGACTAAGGCCACCAGGGTTACCACTGCCACGTGCCCTTCCAGGGCTGCCCTCCATGATGAACAATAACCCTAACCCTAAAAAAAGAGGGTGGCTCAGGCAGAATGCCTCAGGGAGTCCCAAGATGATAGACCAGCCTCCTGCAGGTCCAGATCACCAGCCAGGGCCTCTAGTTCTGATTCTTCCCCAGCTCTCTCCAGCTAGGGTCCACAGGAGGTCTAGCATGGCATCTCTCCCTCCCCTTCTGTATCATCTTGGGCTATTAGGGATGTCATGGGAGATCCACTAGAAGGTACACCCCAAGACTTTCTTCTCTCCAGGCCTACCATGGCTCTTCTGGTATCGGAACCACCTGTGGCAGAGGATCCTTATGATGACCTGGAGGCACTAAAGCACCTCCCAGAGAGTTTGCAAAAAATAATTGCCTCAGCAATCTCCCAGGGCATAGCCTCAGGATTGAGACAACAGTGGAGCCAGGCTGAGGAGGACCAAACAGCCCCATGCAGATTCTAGGATGGGTCAACCAGCAGAAAATCAGGTAGGCGGAGATCGCAGGCCAGGGTCCCTTTTGCTGGCCAGTGAGGGGTCAGTGACAGGTGAAGAGCTTCACTGAGACTTAGAATTGTCAGAAGATGAGGAGATCTTGACACCGGATCCTCCAGCCTTCACTGGTTTCTTTCCTCCTTCTCTCTTCAAACCACTTTTAATTAAGGCCAGGGCTACCACCAAACTAGGCAGCAGTACCACCGCTGCACCTGCAGATACTCGCAAGGATCCTATTCAAGCCATGTTTTCCAAAGCTTCCATGGACAAGGAGGAGGTTCCCCTCCTTTGTTCCCTGAGGTGGTTAAAAATCAATGATCTCACCCCAGGGTCTTTCCAAACCCATGGGACAATGACCATTGTTTTTACAACATGGACTAAGGCTTCTCACAGGCTCTTCAGATCTGACAGTCGATGGCCTAGTTACGTCCTTGATGACTTCCTCAGCTTTAGTTTCAGATGATGTCGCAGACAAACTCAAGGCCGAGGATAAAAGGGCAGAGCTCACCTTGTGTAAAGCCTTTCATGCATCAGTGTGGGCCATCAAATCAGCAGCAGCTGCTTCCTTTTTCAATCAAACCACTCTTTTGTGGTTGAGGCAGCTGCAAGATTGAATCCCTGCTGAGGACATTCACATGTTGAAGGATGTTAGCAAGGTCATAGCAGCCACTCAGTTCTCGGTGGACACCACCCTTGATTCGGTCAAGTATGCATCCCATGTCTTGTCAGCCTCAGTAGCCTCCAGATGTCTTTTATGGCTGAGGAACTGGCAGACAGAGAACAAATCCAAATAGTACCTAGCGTCTGCCCCATATACGGGATAGTCTCTTTTTGGGGAATCCTTAGATCTCATCCTTGTTGAAAACAAGGATAAGAAAAAAGTGCTTCCCACTGCACCTAAACGCCAGAAGAACTGTTCGGCTCCGTATCACAGACAACCTCTTTCGGTTCCAATGAAATAGAGTACCATCAGCATAGGTATTTTCCCCCAAGAACTGATCGTAATCAAACCAGACTTGTCTTTTCCAGATTGGAACAGATTTCAGAGCCAGTCCAAATGGCCTTTTTGTGGTGGTGGGGTGGTGGTTGCCCCCTAGTGATTCAAACCTGAGTCTTCCCATAGGCGGCCGCCTGTCTCATTTTGCGACACAATTGGAACATATTACAATGGACCCTTGGGTCTTTGCCACAGTCTGGGAGGGGCTCAGATTGGAGTTTCTCTCCTCCCCCCCCCCCAAACTCTTCAGGACATTCCCTCCTTCATGGAATCTGGTGAAGAAAAAACTCATGAAAATTGGGATTCAGCATCTGCTGGAGATTTAGGCAGTCAAATCGGTTCTGCCGGAGGAACAGGGGTTGGGGTTCTACTCCAACCTTTTTGTCACCTTTTTGTCATCCCAAAGTACTCGGGGTGTAGAGAGCGATCCACAATCTCAACCTTCTCAATAGGTACATCATCTACAGACAATTCAAAATGGCCTCCCTGAGGTCCATTTTTCAGGGGGTCAGATGGGGGGATCACCTAGTGTCAATAAACCTCACACAGATGTACCTTCACATCCTGATACTGCCATCCCATCACAGATACCTCAGATTTGCTCAGGCAGGATCTCATTACCAATATTGGGTGCTTCCCTTTGGGTTGGCATCGGCCCCGAGGTCGTTCACGAACGTCTAGTGGCGTTGGTAGCCTACCTACGTTCCATCCAGGTGAGGCTCCAATGCTATTTGGATGACACACTGGTGCAGGCGCAGTCTCACAAACAAGCAATCCATGACCTTCATCTTACAATTCGGACATTGCAGGATTTAGGGTTTTCCCTCAACTTCCTGAAAAGTCATCTCACTTGCACAGTAAGGTTCCTGCATCTGGGGGCAATTATAGACTTGGGCGCAGGGATGGTTTTCCTATCTCCAGACCGTCGATCCAATCTCCAGAAGTTGATTCGAGACACTTGGCCTCAATTGTAGTGGATCATATCTTGGGGACGGCCAACCATCAGGCTGACTGGTTCAGTCGGGCCACTGTGGACCACGGGGAGTGGCAGCTCCATCCAGACTTGTTTCGTCACATTTGTCACCCATTCAGGACTCAAGTGGTGAACTTTTCCGCAATCCTGGTGAATGCTCAGCTCCCTCGATTCCTATCCAGATACCCCACCCAAGGGGAAGACGACACGGGCGCTCTACACAGCAGATGGCCAAGTGGACTCCTTTACACCTTTCCCCTCCTTCCCCTTCTCCCGGGGACCCTCAGGAAAATAGTCAGAGGGGCTGGAGGTCATACTGATTACGCCAAACTGGCCCAGGAGACTGTGATATGCAGATTTAGTGCAGATG